GCCAGGTGTGGTTTCATGCACCTATAGTCCCAGCTAGTTGGGAGGCCAAAGTGGGGGGATTGTTTGAGCCTAGGAGTTTGAGGCTGTCTGTCATGAGCTATGATGCTGCTGCTGCACTGTAGCCTGTGCAACAGAGAAAGATTCTGTCTCAAAAGAAAATGATTGAGTTGTGATTTATCTTTTACTATGGAAAAAATATAGAAAAATACTCCACTGGGCATTCCCATTGTTAGACTTTTCTCTAATAAATGTTTTGCTTTATTTCTTCTATTTACCCTTTTCATTGAGGTGCTATTGAATAGGAAAATTGTCAGAAGACTAAATCATAGTCTAAAGATATCATTTAGACATGGCATTTCAATTCGGATTTTTTTGAACTTCACCTCTGAAGACCTTTCAAGGGCATGCCATCTCCCATCTCAGTGGCCCCTTCCATTTCCATGTGCAGGGTCCTTCTCAGTCCTAGGCACTTCTGGGACATGAGGTCAATTCCAGTCCAGCCTTCGGTGTTTAGATTCACTTAAGATGTAGGGAAGAACCCACAGGTAGCTTTTGACAACATAAATCTTGAGTTTAGTGGTGGGTTCATGGTGTTCACTTAATTACACTTCATAACTTATATTCAATATAAATATATTCTGTATATATCAAATATTTCACACTCTAAAAAAAGAACAGCTCTAAACCCTAAGAATGATGCCTTTAATTCCTTTAAATAGGAAACATTCCAGGACCAACTCAATCTTCCAAAACTGCTATAGATGAGAATGTTTCTCCCTAAGATGCTCCAGTTAGGATCAGAACTCAAGTTGCTCTAGGGTTAGAAGGCTGGTTCAATGGTGCTGATCTGTATTCTCCTAGTCATATTTCCTTGAAATTAAAAGATAAATAATAAAGTATACCTTAATCAACAAGAAACAATTAGTCATCTGAAGTGGCACATGTATTGGGAGAATCAATCTACCATGGGCACTGAGTCTTCCTGCACAATTTTGCTGGGTAGGCCAAGGATGCAGGCCTTGACAGCTCTTTGCCTAGTCCATTTCCCAGAGTTGTGTTTGCAGGAGGCTCCTTTGAGGGATGAAGTAACATCTCCCCACAAAGTGTAGGCTTGCTCACCACTTACGATAGAAATGATAGATTCCATAAGCTCAATGTTCCTCAGCTGTACCACAAACCCAGTGCACTCATCTCAACACCCAACCAAGCTCACCTACATCCCATCCATGGGACCTGGAGTGCATAGAAGACTGTTGCCAACAGTGTGCACATGCTGCTTGCTGTGCTATGAGTAATTAAGTCTTCAGCCAGCATCCATGAAACAGTAACAGGCTAATTTGTTACAGTAGCTCCCCCCACTAGTTATCTGTGGTGTTGCTCTCCACCATTTCAGTTACCCACGGTCAACCTTGGTCTGAAAATACTGAATGGAAAATTCCAGAAAAAACAACAATTCATAAGTTTCAAATTGCATGCCCATTCTGAGTAGCATGATGAAATCTTGTGCCATCACGACTGGGATGTGAATCAGCCCTTTGTCCAGCACATTCATGCTGTCAATGTTTCCTGACCATTAGTCACTTAGTAGCCATCTCAGTTATCAGATCAGCTGTCGCAGTATCACGGTGCTTGTGTTCAAGTCACCCTTAGTTTACTTAATAATGGCCCCAAAGTACAAGGGAAGTGATGCCAACAATTCAGACTTGCCAAAGAGAAGGCATAACGTACTTCTTTTAAGTAAAAAGTTTAAAGTTCTTGACTTATTAAGGAAAGGGGGAAAAAGCATATGCAGAGGTTGCTAAGATCTATAGTACAACAAGACATTTTTAGAGACAGTAAAAGAGAGACCACATTCGCATAACTTTTATTATACTATATTGTTGTAATTATTCTATTATATTATTAGTTGTTGTTAATCTCTTACTATGGCTAATTTATAAATTACAATTTAATTAATTAAAGTTAAATATCATAGGTATGCATGTAAGGGGAAAAACATAGTATTACCTACAGTTCAGTACTACCTGTGATTTCAGGCATCCACTGAGGGTCTTGGACTGCATCCCCTACAGATTAGGGGGACTACTATAGTTCACAAGTAGGATAAAATCCCAGATGCTTCACAGGGCCTTATAGTTTCAGTGACAAGGATGAGATGCTGATAGAGAGAGATGACTTTCTAGGGGAGAAAGGACAAGGGCCCTTGTTGGTTGGGTTAGAGGATGTGAAAAGACTCCCTAAGATCTGGTAGTAAATGCTCTCACCTAGGTGGTAATGAAGGTGGGAGAATGGAATAAAAGATCCTCATTGTCCAGTACATTAAGTGAGGCTGAGCAACAAAAGACAAGAGTTGAAATAAGCTGTCCAAATGGTGCTTTGGCTGTGGCATGCTCCCCTCCAGGGTGGGAGAAGGGAAGGATGTTATAATGGTGGGGCAGAAAGCCCCACACTCCAGCCCAAATACAAGGCAATGTGGCTATGGCTGCTGAGTCAAGGGGTCCCCAAAGCTGAAACCCATGGTGTCAGCATTGAGGATAGAGAACTTTGGGTAGACTAAAAGCATTAGAAATTTGTTTGTTGAGCTCAGTGGCAGGAGAAGGTAAATACAAAACCTTGCTTATAGGCACTGAGCTGCTCTCTCCCTCCACACCCCATCCCTTCTTCTACCTCTCTCCCAACTTCAGCTGCTTTAGGGAAGAAAGCTGGTTATGCTGGGGAACTTCAGGGAAGGGAAGGACTCCAACGTTTATAGTCCTGGATATAGGAGTCAAAGTCTGCTTGCTCCCATGAAAGGAAAGTGTACTAAGTGCTGGGGTGGAGTTGGATGTAGGAATCAAAGTCTGCTTGCTCCCATGGAAAGAAAGTGTACTAAGCGCTGGGGTGGAGTTGGATGTAGGAATCAAAGTCTGCTTGCTCCCATGGAAAGAAAGTGTACTAAGCGATGGGGTGGCCTGAAGTGCCAAGGACTGCAGGGCAGCACTGTGGCACCAATGCAGGCTAAAAGAACAATGCCCCTGAATGGCAGTGCTCTCCAGAGGCTGCGGTACCCAGGGGAGGAAGCAGCACCCAAAGGATAAAAAGCCCTCCCTGCCCTTCTGCACTCCCAGTTGATCTCCCCCAGCTGGAAGACAGCACAATCTGAAATTAGTATAACCTCTGAAGCACCCACATTAAACGCTTGGTTTGTGTTCTGATGGGGGTGGGCAGCACCTGAATTCAACTGATAAGGTTTGAGCAAAGTTCACAGTGAAGATGGGAAATTAGAGGGGCCTTGAGCCAATTCAAGATACTGTGATGTGTGTCCACACTCCCCCTGTCCCCGCATATAAATGTATGATGAGATGCTTGTATTGTAAGACTCAGTGACCCTCCCATTCAGGGATTTAAAGACCCCTTGCAGGTGGTCTAATAGAAACATAGAGTCCTAGAGAGAAAAGGGGAAAATCAGTCAACCTCCAGAAGAGCCATTGCTCAGTACAGCAGTGCCACCTGTCAGAAACAGGTATCGAATATGCCCTGTATTAGTTTGCTAGGGCTGCCGTAACAAAGGACCACAAACTGGATAGCTTAAGCAACAGAAATTTATTGTCTCAGCTCTAGAGGCTAGAAATCTAAAATCAGAGTGGCTGCAGGGTTGGCTCTTTGCTAAGGCAGTGAGGGAAGTGTCTGTTCCAGGCCTTTTTCCTTAGCTTGTGGATAGCCGTCTTCACAACTGCACAAGACGCTTGTCAGTCTTTAATTGCTATTAATAGCAGTAATAATAACAGCAGCAACAATCAATACTTATAGAGTGAGAGGCATTTTTCTAAAGACTTGAGGTATTGTTCTATATACTACATATTCTCTTTACTCCTTAAAACATCCATCTGAGGGGGATATTATTACCCTTATTGTACAGATCAGGATACTGAGGCACAAGTTGTACAGTTAGTTGGGGCGGGAACTGGGACTCAAACCCAGGCCATCTGGCTTTATTACCCACTTTTAACCACGGTCTATACTGCCTCACAGTGGGAACTTCTACTCCCAGGGCTACAGTGGACCACAGAGGTCTAGAGATCTTTGTCTGAAATTTAAAAGAAATAATTCAGGTTAAACTTTTAACTCTTCCTTTTGACTTACAACAAGCATTTTTACAAGCAATGCTTGTAAAAAGTTGCTTGCATTTTACAAGCAACTTACAAAAAGCATTTTAAAATGCTTTTTGACAATGTATAGTAGACAATTAGACAATCTTCTGTGGTGTGTTGATCCTTTCTATCCAGTCATTGTATAAATCCAGTGCCAAGTTTTCACACTCTGTATTACTTTCCTCTTGGTGTTGTAACACATTATCATGAACTGATTGGCTTAAAACAACACAAATCTATTATCTTACAGTTCTGAGGTTAGAAGTTTCAAATGGACTGGAAAGATTGCATCTTTCTGGAAGCTCTAGGGGAGAATCTCTTTTCTTGCCTTTTCCAGCTTCTAGAGGCTCCCTGAATTCCTTGACTCATGACTCATACTCCCTCTTCAAAACCAGCAGTGTAGTACCTTCAAATCTCTCTCCCTTTCACTCTCACTTTCCTGCTTCCCTCTTTCCCTTATTAAGAACACTGTGATTGCAATGGATCCATCTGGATAATCCAGAAGAGTCTCATCATTTCAAACTTCTTAAATAATCTCATTGAAAAGTCCTTTTTGCCATATAAAGTAACATATGCACAGGTCCTGGGGATTAGGACATGGATGTCTTTAGGGACCACTATTCAGTCAACCATACACTCCAAGCAGTTATCTATTCCTGCACTACGGAAATTTTTACATGACTATCTTGATTTAAGATTTAAACAAGCTTATTCACCAGATAACTAGTAATCTATTTCATCTGTTTTAAGGATAGAGCCCTCAAGAGCATTTTATCTTTCGGAGTCAAAGAAAACACACTGCTGGAACACATGTGGTAGAAATTTTAACTATTGTTAACAACATAATAGCTTAATTATTTTAAAACGTACCTGAAGTCGAGCATTCATAAGCATGAACTCTTGTTGATTTTGCGCGTTTTCCTTCATAGACTTTGAAAATATAAACCCCATCTTGACCTAAAGTGTAAAAAAGCAAGGAGATTTAACATACTACATGCATCTTTGTATGCTCTGTTTTGGGCTAATATGAGCTTATCACAAAGTAAAAAAAAAGATAACATTTCTGACCTAGGAACATAGTGTGGATTCTAGTCGTGGCTCCCAACTACCTGCTTGACCTTGGCCATATTTAACCAGCCTAAATGATGGTTGACCATATTTAACCAACCATCATTTACTCATCTAAGACCAGCTGATTGAACTAGATGATTTCCAAAATCTTTCCCCGCTCTATAAGTATATCGCTCTATGTTTCCTGATTTTTCTTCCCAACATAAATTTTAGAGAACTAAATACTTGAAAACAACAACAACAACAACAACAACAACTCTATTTCTGGTGAGGAGCAAAGGGAATATCCTCTAACCTCTTACTTTCTGTATGATTGGACAACAGAACTTTTGTATGCAAGGAGGGGTGATTCAGAAGATACCTTGTGCATCTTGAGAACAGATTTCTCTGTGCTCCTTGCATTTGTGTTTTAAGCAGATTTAGGTGTTTCCAGGTCCACATATTGATATTCTTCCTGCAGTCTCATCAGGATCCCTGCCCTCTTTACATGCCCCTTATTTCCATCCACCCACTGCTGCCATCCATCAGCCATCCTCCTCTAGCTTCACCTTTCTTCTCTCCAAGCTAGTGTGCACTGAAGTTCTCAAAAGGGGAAAAACATAGGGATATTCACATGTCCTGGGAAAAGCACTTTTTAAACGAATACACAAGATTATCTATCTTGTTTATCTTACATAAGAAGTTCTTAAGTAGGCTGCCAACTCTGGGTGGGCCTGAATTCCAGTCTTTGCTCTTAAACCAATTGGGGAGGTTCAGAAGACCTTCACTTAGTTACTGATTGCACTTTGAGAAGACTGCAAAACTCAGGGGAAAGTTATAACTTCTCTACCCTCCTCAACAAAGTTGCCAATACCTTTTCTATTTAATAGGCTGTTGAGTATGGTTGTGGAATCTTAGATCAGGGAGGCCAGTCTCAATGCTTTACAGCCAGGATTCATAAGTATTCTGTAGGAAGCCCAACCAGAGATCCTATTTTCCATGTCCTCATCAGGAAATCCTGGGTTCTAGATAACTTAGAAGGTGGTGGGGGTGGGGGGAGTATTTCAGGTCAAGTGGGATGGGTTAGCCCCGCTAATGGGACTCCAGGTGAGTGGGAGCTGCAAGCCAGACTTAAATGACTTCCTGGAACTCTGGCCAAGGATATACCCTGGAGTTACAGGTGCTCTGAGCCAGAGTCAGCTTCAAAGCTGGGCACAGGAGGCCAAACCACTTACTGGGGAGAAGAGGTACAGCCATGAACAGGCCTGGGAGGTCATGAGGTTTCCCTTCCCCTCTGCCACTATCCAACTCCAGCACCCTGTGACAGGAGCTAGAGGGCACCTGCTGAGAGTGGGAAGACCCAGAAGTTCTTTCCTTTCTCCAAATTTTGAGAGTTCCCATGTGAATTGTCTCTAATAGCAGACCAGAGCTTGCCTGAAAGCAGGAGCAATATATTATCCATCTTGACAGTCTCCATGGTATCTACTTCCCAAAAATGTTTGTACAAAGCATGAATGATACAAGAAAAACTGTGGCTCAGGCCATTAGCCATTCTTTATTTTTCTTCTGCACATAGGAGGGGATGGTTGAATTTTTACATCTGCTGCAAACATTTATAAAGAAAACAACTATCCTCTAGTACCATTTCTCCATGCACCTACTCCGTATGTCACAGAGCTGCGTCCCTTAGAGTGCTTCTATTTATAAGGAGGTGGATCTCCCCCAAAGAAAGGTACGGTCTTATGTCAATAATCTGGAGAAGAAGAAGTATCTGGGAAGTTAGGATTTAGTCTTACCTCTTTCTGAGCCTTGCTCTCTCGGGGTCTGGACTTGTAGTTTGAATGTGTTACAGGACACTCCTAGAAGGATAAGTCAAAGGTAGAAACCAAGCAGGAAATAGAGCTTCCCTCTGGGAAACCACACCTGAAAATAAACATACCACACCCTGTCAAGTTCACCCTGGAGTTCAGTACTTTCAACCTCCTCTCCTTCCCCATCCCTCACATCCCTCACAAAGCCATTTTCCAAAGTCTGGGGGTATTCCTTAGGGTGTCTAGAATACTCTCGGCTTTTTCTCTCCCACTCACAAAATATATACCAGAAAATAAGCAAGATGACCTTGCGACAGGGAAAACTTTGACTTCACTCATTTGCACAAGTCTTTGAAAAATTCTAATGCTTTATCTTGGGTAACAAATTTCTTGCTACTGAATACAACTTAAGACACCAGTGTTTCTCGAAGGGCTTGAGAATGCCGATTTGAATCCCTTCTGCCTTCATTTTTCCTTTAATTACTCCTGAGACTTTTTAAGGAGTCTTTAATGCTCCAGCCCCGCCTCAGCTGTGCTACTGACTACTGTGGGAAGGTGTATTTCTGGGGAGCAGCATTGGGGCTGCAAGGTCCAGGCAGACTTTCTCCGGTCACTTGTGAGAACATGGATTTGATTTTACTTTCCGGAAAAAAAAAAAAAAAGATAATTCCATGAATCTGTCATCCACATTTCTGTGCTGACTTATCTCCTGATCAAATGACACATTACTTTTAAACTCATCGTGTAATCACAATCATTTTCAACAAATATCTGGGTTCCATTCGCGCTAGGTCACTTCCCCCTGCAAATACCAGGAAGCTTCCTGGCGATTTTCTGTAATGAACTCCACCCTCGCTCCCTGGAGCCAATGACTGTAATTTAGGTACTCCCCGCAATGGTATGCGGGTGTCTGGTGATAGAGTCCCCGACTCTATTATAACGATACGGAGAGGTCAGGAGCCCAGGCGACGAGAACGGACTCTGAAGAAACGAGGTTGGCAATACCTATCAGACCATGGGGACAGCCAGGGGCGGGCGCCCACGTGGAGAGGGCGCCCCGCACGGCCTGGCACGCCGGGCCCCGGAGCGCGCACCGACTGACGCAGCCGTGCGGACCCTTCCTAGCCACCCGCCCGCCCGCCTGAGGCCGGCGCTCACTCACTGGGCAGCGGGCGCGGGGACAAACGGATCGCCGCGGAGGCCTCCGGGCCCGGATTCCTTCAGTCCGCGGCAGGGACCGGGCCTTGCCCCGGAGAGCCTCGGGATTGGCTGGCCATGACAGTAGAGTCCGAGCCTCAGCCAATCAGCGCGGCCCTCGGCTTGCTGAAAGGGCCCGCACTCCCGACAGAAGCCTGGTGTGTGCTTCCGGGCCAGGCACTCGGGGACCGGAGGTGGGAGAGGCAGGTCAAAGCGGCAAATTCAAAACCGCTGCTACTCAGCTGTCAGATTTTGAAGCAGAGGCTGGGGAAGCAGAGTGGAAATCTCAATGAGAGGCCTCAGTATCCTTATCTGTAAAACTGCCGCCACTAAAGTGGCAAAAGGTAAGCCAGGAAACGAAAAAGAACAGACTGGACCGAAACGACTAAATCTTCCCTTTTGGACAGAGCCATCTTTCCTCCCTGTTGCTCAGGGAGATGTCCGTCTCTTCTCACCCCCACCAGCAATTTCTTTCTTGAGTAAGCCAAGTCTCTCTCCCAGCCTTATTGAGAGAACACTTGAATTGTTGGCACTCTGTCCTTTACTACCAAATGGCTTGGGAGAAGAGCATACATTTTGCCAGTCTCTGGCCTTGAAGAAGGTCCATGAGGAAGGTGCCTGCCTTAGCCCTGGCTAAGTACCACATCGCAGAGAAGGCGCCTAACCTCCTCCAGGCTCAGCATGTGAGTGAACAGCGCATTGACCTCCTGGGCTTTTCTGGGTGCTGTCAACAGCGGCCCTCAGTATTCTGCAACTTGGGTCTCACATTCCAGATACTATTGGTTGAATGGCTGGATGGGGAATTGCAACAGCACCCTCTTTTCCAGTTGCGGGAGTGCGTGGGTTACTAGGAGCGAAGCCATGTGGAGCTTTGGCACTCTTGGAGGGTGGTTAACAACTGAAACAAGAAGTAGGGAATAGTGTTTGGGTGCACAGACTCTAATATAAACACACCTACTTTCAATTTCCAGCTCTGTCACTGTCACTCTATGACTTTATCTCCTTTATGATAAGACTAAAGCCATCTAACTTATTGATGAGTTGTGAGGACTAAATGAGATTATTGAGGTACTTAGCACAGCGTCTGGCACCTAGTTAGCCTTTAATAAACAGTAGTAATAAACCAGCAACAGTAGGGAGCTGTTACTAACTCTAGGCCTGAAGGGACAGAGGGAAGGGAGCAGTTACTAAAACCAGCAGGAGCTGTAGCTGTGGCCGTAGGAAAGGGTACACAACAGGAGCTATGTTATCCAGTAGAGGAAAGAAATCAATGCCAACCTTCAGCTGAGCAGGGTGGGACCCTATAATTGTAGCCAATGCTTGGACCTAAGCCCAAAGCAGGGACAGGGTAGAGAAGAAAGACCTACCTCTCTGTCCTTGCAGCTCTAATATCCGGCTGGAGTCTTCCATTGGCTGGGTCCACCAAGAAGCCAGAAGACAAGGGAGCTGGGCTGATGCAGTCTGTAGAGGTCAGCCTCCCAAGCACAATGCCTGCAAGATTTCCTTGCATCAACCCAGCTCCCTTGTCTTCTGGCTTCTTGGTGGCTGATGGGGCTTGTTAAAGAAAACCAGAGTTGGACAATAGTTAAAGTAGTAAAATTGAATTGTATTCAGGAATTATTGGGAATAATAGGGGAAAAGAGACTTAAATATAGAATTGAACTCAATTTCAAATATGGCAAGGATAACTGGGAATTTATAGCCAAGGAGCAGGTTGAGGGGTTTGGAATGCAGTGGGGGGAGGTCAGTGCATAGAAAATTACTAAGAGGAGATATCAAGGGTAGAGGGAATTCTTGTTAAACTGACCTAATAGGATTCTTGTTGAAGGCAGGCAAGAATGATCAGATATCACCTGGAGGTTGGCGGGGGATGAGGAATTTTATCATATATTGAGGATGATCAAATAGGCAGGGTGGGGGATTCTGTCTAAACTGACTTAGCAGGATTCTTCCTAAAACTAATTCTGCAAAGACAGACACTGATGCCCAAGGTCAAGCCCTAGTCAAGGAGAGGGCTTAGAAGAACTGGACTAAACTTTGGTCAAGGAGAACATCTTTGCTGGGCATGGTGGCTCACACTTGTAATCCCAGTACTTTGGAAGGCCGGGGCAGGAGGATCACTTAAGGCCAGCAATTTGAAACCAGCCTGGCAACATAGCATGACTCTGTCTCTACAAAATATCTTTTTTTAAAAAAAGAATATTTTGATATTTTGTCAAACTCAATGATTCCCATGTGTAGGGGATGAGCTTCTCTGCATCTGAACAAAGGGCAAGAATAAATGCTGGGTGTCAAAACAAGCAGGCTTTTGGGTTTTGTGTTTCCCTTTCCTCATATCCATTCCCCACCCTTTCCTGCCCTGTTCCCTATACCAGAAGCTGACATCATTGGGAAGCATCACCTGGGCTGTCTTCAGTTGGTTTCCATTTGTGTTTGGACAGTGGAAGACATTTAGGCATATGGAAAGCAAAAGGAAAAAGACAACAGGATATGTATTCTTCATTCTTTCTCTGTTTTTGGCTGAAGATCTGGTGGTGGCTGTGTTTAGATGTGTCAATCCCATCTCTGGACAAGTGATCCTTCCTCCATGGCTGCAGCTCACTGAGCTCTGGAAACACTTTCCTCCCTTGCTTTATAGCCTAGAGATGACACAGACTTCCTGCTGTTGTGGGATTCTGGGTGCTTCAACTGGATGGTATCCTTAACCTAGGCCATACCCCTTTAAATAGTGTCTTCATTAATATATCCTTAGTCAAACCTAGTAAAATTCTGATGGATGCACCTTAAACTGTATACACACATTCTAAATGTTCTTATATATATGATATTGTTCATAATTTTAAAATATAAGTGAAAAATGTGACCATAAGAATATATGCCCAGGGAATTGTGAAAAATCTTGATATAGATATTGGATACATTTTATGGAAAGTGGGGTATGAGGATTAAAAGAAATTTATTTCAATATCAAGTGCCATAAACTTTAATTGGCATGTGAATTATTTCTAATTGTATGAATTTATGAATATATGTGTTCTTAATTTTACACAAATATTTGCTTTTTATCATTTTGCATTACAGAATACAGATTTTCATGTTGTTACATATTTACCATTTTTAACAGCTAAATGATTTTCAACAAGCGTGTATGCAATAACTTTCATTGTTGTAAATTTCAGATTTTTTGCTATTGCCAATAACATCATGATGACAACATTCATATATATACATGTATATAGCTTTTTAATATTTGTATTAGAAATACTTGGTTAAATAGTATAACTATTTTAGAGAAATTAATGTAAAATTCTCAACTCATTGGAAGCTCCCTACCCCAGGACAGTAAAATTGCTCAATATTTTCCTATACCTACATAAAGTAGTAGCTTTTAAAAAAATAAAATTTTTGGAAGCTCAAGATGTGCCTAGAGACATTTCCTTTTAATAGAGATGCTTTCACAAGGATGTGAATATCCCTGTTCATTTGGGAACAAGGTTTAGCCAAGAACTTCAGTCCATGAAGGACTGCAAGCATGTAGCTAAGCCTAGAAGCTGCTCTTTAATTAAACCATTCTGGGGTGGTGTTCCCCAGTGTCTGAATTTTAACATTTCACTCCAATCCTGGGGCATGCCTGTGCCCTGGGCACAATCTTCAGCTGTTAACAGAACATCCCTGGAGCTTTGTACAAGACTTCTTTAGACTTTTTCCATCCTCAACAGTGACACCATATAGCAGTGCAATACAATGGCAGCAGTGGACTCAGACCCTGTCTTCTCCCTACCTAGAGATTTTTAAAATTGAAATACAATTCACATACCACAACATTCATCACCTTAAAGTATACAATTAAGTGGCTTTTAATGTACTCAAAAAAGTTGAACAATTTTCACCACTATCTAATTCCATAACATTTTTGTCAACAACAAAGAAATGCCGGCCGGGCGCGGTGGCTCACGCCTGTAATCCTAGCTCTCTGGGAGGCTGAGGCGGGCGGATTGCTTGAGGTCGGGAGTTGGAAACCAGCCTGAGCAAGAGCGAGACCCCGTCTCTACTATAAATAGAAAGAAACTAATTGGCCAACTAATATATATAGAAAAAAAATTAGCCGGGCATGGTGGCTCATGCCTGTAGTCCCAGCTTCTTGGGAGGCTGAGGCAGAAGGATCACTTGAGCCCAGGAGTCTGAGGTTGCTGTGAGCTAGGCTGACGCCACGGCACTCACTCTAGCCTAGGCAACAAAGCGAGACTCTGTCTCAAAAAAAAAAAAGAAATGTCATATTCATTAGCAGTCACTCACTATACTCCTCTCTCCCCTAGCCCCTAGAGACCCTTTCTGGTTTTGTAGATTTTCCTATTCTGGACATTTCATATAAATGGAACCTATAATAATGTATGGCCTTTTGTGTCTGGCTTCTTTTATTTAGTATAATGTTTTCAAGGTTCATCCAAGTTGTAGCATGTATCAGTACTTCATTCCTTTTTATGGCAAAGGCAATATATATAACCTAAACATTTGTAGCCATATAATATTCTGAAATAAAAAAAAAAATTCCAGTGCATGGATATACCACATTTTGTTTATTCATTCAAAATTGATGGAAATTTGAATTTTCCCATTTTACTATTATAAATAATGCTGTGAAGTTTTAATGTGAACATATGTTTTCAATTCTCTTAGGTATATATGTAGCAGTGAAATTGCTCCATCATATGGTAACTCTGTGTCTAACTTTTGAGGGTTGAACAAATACACAATGCCACCAGCAGAGAATACGAATAATAGTTTCACTGCACATTTGTGTTGTAGTTAAGAGCTTAGATACTGGAGACAGAATCTCTCAGTTTGAATCTTAGTTGTGCCATCTCCTAGCTGTGTAAGCTTAGACAAGTTACTTAAGCTCCATGCCTCAGTATTCACATATCTAAAGTAGAGGCAATAATAGTACCTTCCTCATAGGATTGTTATAAGATTTAAATGAGCTAATATATATATAGATCAACAAGACAGTGTCGACATTTTTTAAGTGCTATATGTTTTACTATTACTGCTATTTTAATCTTTATTATAAC